CTATTTCTCTAATTTTGTGGTATTAACTGTGAATATGGTAAAGAAGAATATCTCCAAGAAGCGTTCTGGTGATCGCATTCCGTGTGATGATCGTAAAAGAAAGGCTATAACACTTGAAGAGAAGCTCGATGTTATCAACCTCAAAATCACCCTTCTCCCCCATCAAGTTATATTCATATATTTTCAAGGTAAACTGTTACATTTACTGTATGATTTCATTATTAGATATGAATGTAACATTTATTTAGACTGTGCTATCCTTTGTGTTAGGCTAACTACTAAATTTTTTTCGATTTTGAGTAGTAATCTGCACCTAACCCTATTTTCTCCATAAGCCCTGTTATTTCTATTACGAGAATTTCTATAACACGATGTTTTACAAGAACACAACTATCGCGTTATAGCAGAACTGACTGTACGTCTTCAGCTAGAGTTGAACCTGATGGCAACTTCATCATCCAAGTAAAAACACACACAACAACATTGGCTGTCTTTATGTTTTGCACTTTACCACCAGTGGTGGGTAGAAATTTTTCTTTTTTAAATTCAGAAACATTAATTAAAATATATATGAACAGTAAATAAGTGTTGCTTTCATATTCTTATGTAGAGTAATGACGATATGTTTACACGTGCTCACTTACATACGCGATCTCACTTTTTTCTTTACCATTAATGGTTAGCTACTTCCAATGTTCCATTTATTAACATTAAATAACATTACTTAAAACAACATTTTAATTTTTTTTACATTAATTTTACTACAGCTACAACCGGGGTCTTATTTTCTTCAGTTTTATATGTAGAACCAATCAGTCACTGGTTTTTTAAACAACGAAAACAATGCCGTCTCGTCTCCTCATGTGTTTTAATATTCTGCGTATTATTAATGAATTGTATTGTTCATTTTGCACACATGAACATTAATTAAATAAAAAAGAAATTAAGTAATAAAAAAGAATGAGTCTTTTGTACATAAGAGAAATTACACTGTATTGTGTAGTTTTTTTTTTTTTGGGTGAATTACTACTTGTAATAAAGCAACATTCTAATAAACCAGGATTTGAAGATGAATAAAATGCTTTTGACTGTTTTCCTGGACATGATATTTAGAGATTTACAGTTTTTTATATTTTTATTGTTTGCTTGCCAAAATTTTTAATTCAACTGATTTTTACCGAGTTTTTCTTTTACTTTTTTTTTGTTTTTAAATAAAGATTTTTTGTTTTATTTAGGCATTGATATACATGTTTACATTTGCTTACCTTCTACTGTTGCAAAATATTTCCCGTCATTGTCATACCGACAAAAACAAGAGAAAGAATGTAAACACTACAGCCCACTAGATGTGGAGGTGACCAGGTGTATAAAATGAGTGCTGTATTAAAGATTTTACCTTCTTATACAGATTTTTTTTTAAATTGATGAAAATGATGACTGATAAGCAGTTCTAAGTGATGGTATTCAAAGAGGTGTGTGTGCTTGTGCCAAAAGGGCTGTATAATTATCAAGCAACGGTTTCACTGGTGTAGATAGTAAACAGCTACCAAACAGGGAGGTACTACTGCCTGGGAAGATAGTGGTAGACCCTGCTGCCATATGGCATCACGAAAATTGTGACCAAGTCCCAGGTTGCTGATCTGACTTTCTGCCTCATTTACACACAATTGCAGGGTCTCAATTGTTTCACTGATCCAATGTGGGTCAGTGACCTGTGCCCAGGTGGGCTAATGCCCATAAAAAAAAAAAAAAAAAAATCCTAGAATTTAATTTCCAAAATCAGGGTGCGTCTTCCACGATGCAGCGTCTTCCACGATGCAGCGTCTTCCAAGCCGAAAAATATGGGAGGGGGGGAGTATATATTTTTAAGAGACCACCGTGTACCCCCGTGATGTTTTACCTTCAACACCGAAGATTTTTCGTCTCCCCATCGCCATTCTCCAATTTTATCAAGCATTCCATTCCTCCAATCATCCTCTTATAGCTTCCAGTATGGTAAGTATCGCACTTTTGTATGTGACATAAATATGTAATGCCATTTCATTTTGCCAATATTTTATACAGGAAATATCTAAGATGAGCCAAACATACTTGGTTGATTGCTATGGTAATAGTTTACAGCAAGTGTCACCTGTGAGCCACATTGATAATTATCTTGGAAAAAATTTCCCCTGCTATACAGTAGAAGTAAAGCCTCCGATAACAGCGGTTCGACCAACAACTTTTCATATTTAAAACCCTAGTTAATTTAGGACCCAATTCAATTTCGTCCTTATTTTATTTGTATTTACGACCAAAATATAAAAAAAATAAAATAAAATTACATTTTCATATAAATAATAACTAAATCCTGATATGTACAGTGGTCCTTCGGTTAACGAAATTTCAGTTAACGAATTACCTTCCATAAGAATCTTCATTTCGGTTAACGAAATCCATACAAATTCCTCTCAACATGTTTTTGCTTGCTAACCAGCTGGAATATTAGTCCGCCAATATAGTAATCGATTCTAGGGCTTAAATTCGTTACCATTTGAGTAAATATCAAGAAGGTTGTACTATTCAATAATTTTCCAAGTTTTATATTAAAAATTTTGGTCATTTTAACAATTATTTAACATAATTGGAGCACAGGAAACTAGTTTTTGATGCTCCCAAGAGTCACTTGACTCACCAACAAATGCGTCAGTTTGTATCTCTGGTCAGTGGAGGTAACATCTTGCCTGTGGCTCTTTTGAACATAAACTATTTTTACGTTTTTACAGTACAATTATTGGTCATTCTGAAATTTATTTTACATATTGAAAATATATAGTGCAGTGCAGTGTTGATTTAAAGAAAATAATCTTTATTTACAGCAATTAAACTTAAAATTTTAGTGTTGAAATTGAATCCAGCATGGGTCCAAAGAAATCTAGATAGGCGATTTCAAACCAGGTAAAACAGGAAATAATAAAGAAACATAAACAGGGCATTAGAACAAATGTGCTTAGTAAAGACTATGGCATGTCGGCATCAACTGTGTCGACAATTCTTGCACAGAAAGACAAGTTCAAGGAAGTGAAAGTGAGAGACAAATCTACCAGAGTGTTTAAAGGTAGATCCTTACTTGCAGAAACAGAGGTTAAATCTCATTTGGATTAAGGAAAAACAATTGAAAGGTGATTCAATTTCGAGAATTTATTTGTGAAAGAGCCAGAGAAATTTACGAACATTTGAAGGAAGAGCAACCTGGTTCTTCTGGCACAGAGTTTGAAGAGTTTAGGGCAAGCAAGGGTTGGTTTGAAAAATTTAAGAAAAGAAGTGACATTTTCAGTGTTATTAGGCATGGTGAGGCTGCCAGTACAGATAAAGAAGGAGCAGCAAAATTTGTAGTGGACTTTAAAGAACTGGTGGAGGAAGAAAATTATCTTCCAAAGCAAGTGTTCAAAGGGGATGAATCTGGGCTGTTCTGGAAGAAAATGCCCAAAAGGACATTCATCACCAGAGATGAAGCCTCTTTACCTGGGCATAAACCCATGAAAGACCATCTCACTCTATTGCTTGGTGCCAATGTTTCAGGGGATTTCCGACTGAAGCCTATGCTTGTCTACCAATCTGACAATCCCAGGGTGTTCAAGCAACAAAAAGTGGTAAGAGGACAGCCTGCAGTTTATTGGAAGTTCAACCGTAAGGCATGGGTGACAAGACAGCTCTTTAATGAATGGGCTGTTGAGGTGTTTTAACCTTCTGTGAAGAGCTACCTAACCACCAATAAACTCCCTTTAAAGGCTCTTCTCCTGATGGATAATGCTCCTGGTCATGACCCTGAACTTGCCAGCACTTTGGAGGCTTGATTGACTTTGTCAAACTGTTGTTTTTGCCTCCCAACACTACTTCAATAATACAGCCAATGGACCAGAATCTGATCAGCAACTTTAAGAAGCTGCACATGAAGAAAATGTTCAGGATGTGTCATCAAGGTACTTCCACTGATCCAACACTGGCACAGTTCTGGAAGACACAATTTAACATCCTGGAGGCTGTAAAATTGATTGTCTCATCATGGCGAGAAGTGTCCAATAAATCCCTCAATTCTGCATGGAAAGCACTGTGGCCATCAGCAGTCCATGATTTTGAGGGATTTGAGGAAGAAGCAGAATTGGACAAGGAGATTGTGTCCATTGCTCAGTCAATGGGCCTCAAAGTGGAGGAGGATGATGTAGAAGAGCTTGTGAGGTCTCATGAGCAGGAACTTATTCCTGAAGACTTGCAGCAACTGGATGAGATGTTAGAAGCTGACAGTGGTGAGGAGGAAAGGGAAAGTGATGACCATATGTCTTCTTCAGATTTGAAGGATGTTGTTCACTACTGGAAGAAGTTCAGGAAACTGGCTTCAAGGCACCCAGATGTGGAAACAACAGAACCTATTTTGTGTAATGTTGAGGACACAGTGGTCTCCTTCTTCAAAAATCAGTTAATGATGAGGAGGAGAGATGCCCCACAAACAAAATTTGACAGTTTCTTCTCTAAGAGGCAGCAGGCGAATGATGCTACCCCTCAGCCTTCCACTTCAAAAAAGAGAGAGGATTTTCCTGCTGGAGAATCTGTCAGTCCAGAGGTTCCTGACATCTTCATGGAAGGTGACTCGCCTTCCAAGAAGCAGTAAAATGCTTCTCCTCCACCCCTCCCCCCCCTTCTTTCTCTTCTCCCTTCTCCTCCTCCACCTCCCACTTAAAATTCACATCAGCATCATCAAAGTGTACTTTAAGTGTACTTTACTGCATTATCTTTTTTACTTTAGGTAATTTTTGGTGAGCTGGAACCAATTACCCAAAATCCCATTGAAACAATGGTTTCGGTTAATGAAATTTTTGGTTAACGAACAACCTTCTGGAACGAATTGTGTTTGTTAACCGAGGGACCACTGTATTATAAAAAAAAAATTATTGTAAAAAAAAATGAAGAGCGCCTTGTGCAAAGAAGCTGCCTGGTTAATGAGTGGTAAACAACAGTCTGAACTTGGTGGGCCTTTTATTTTCACACATCTGGAACAGGGAGAAAAACTTTCTCGTAAGTTTCTTACAGCATTTTTTGCATCCCTATTCAACAAGAACAAGAGAGCAAGTGATGGTAGTGTTGGTTCAAAAGCTAATACAAAGTGTATAAGCTTAGCCGAGAAACTAGATGTGTTAAAACGATATGAAAAAGGTGACGGTCTATGGACATTATATGGAGCAAGCAATGAACATATTTTCTGAAGTGGATCCATTTACAGAACAAAGCATTAAAATTTAAATAAATGCAAATGACCTCTACATAAAGATGTATAATGAGAAAAGAAAGCAGCTGTGCAAGGTTCTTTCGACAGCTTTATTATTCGAAGGCCTAAACCATCAACTTCAGCTACACCATCAAATTCAGCATCATAAGCAGCTTCAACATCAACTTCAGGTTCAGTAACAGTTTCAGCAACAACTTTATGGAAACCTACAGCTTCAGCCAGAGTTGAACCTGATGACTTCGTCATCTGAGTAAAAACTCGCACAATATTCATTGGCTGTCCTTATGTTTTAGACTTTACCACCATTGGTGAGTAGAATTTTTGTTTTACATTCATAAATATTATTTGAAACATATATGAACAGCAAATAAGTGTTGCTTTCATATTCATATGTAGAGAAATGACGATACAGTGGGGTATGCTATAACGAACGGATCCTACTACGAATATTCCTATAATGAACGGTTTTACCTATAAAATTGAGAATGCTATAACAAACGCAACTCATACAACAAACGCGGATGAATACGGGACTATTTCGCCTGGCGCATGAATATTGTTGTACCGCGACCCACAACAAGAGCGTCAGGCGCCATCTTTGTCTCATTGTGTAGCCAGTGCACCATTGTTATTGTTGAAATTTCGTCTTTTGATGTGGAAATTGAGTTATTTGTATAAATATTTTGTTATACAAGTGTACAATTGTGACAATGAATCGTCCAAAGCGAGTGAGAAAGCTCATAACTCTTGAAACTAAGAAAGAAATCATAAAGAAATGTGAGGATGGAACAAGCATTGCGAAACTTAGTGATGAGTATGGGATCGCTAAATCGACTATATGTATGATTTTAAAGAATAAAGAGGAATTAAAAACAGTGCAAGTGGCAAAGGGAATCTCTAGACTTAGCAAAGCAAGGTGTAATGTGATTGAGGAGATGGAAAATTTACTCTTAGTGTGGATAAAGGAGAAAGAAATGGCAGGTGATAGCATTAGTGAAGCTATAATTTGTGAGTAGGCCAGACAATTGTTTGAGGACCTTAAAGCCAAGACTCCCAGTGCAAGTGATAGTGCTGTGCCAGTGTTTAGGGGTACCAAGGGGTGGTTTACTGGTTTCAGAAGGAGAAATAAAATACATAGTGTTGTGAGACATGGTGATGCTGCTAGTGCAGATGAGGAAGCAGCTAAGGAACACCATGACATTTTTTTGAATATTATTAAAGAGGGAGGCTTTGTTTCTCAGCAGGTATTCAACTGTGATGAAACTGGACTTTTTTGGAAAAATATGCCTCGCCGTACATACATTACCAAGGAGGAAACTTCTGTCCCTGGCCATAAGCCAATGAAAGACAGGCTTACCCTCCTTCTTTGTGCTGATGCTTCTGGTGACTGCAAAATAAAGCCACTCCTTGTGTACCACGCAGAAAACCCCAGAGCTTTCAAAAAAATTAGGAAGACCCGCCTTGGTGTTGTGGCGGTCAAACCCAAAGGCTTGGGTGACCAGGAATTTATTCTCTGAGTGGGTGATTGAGGTGTTTGGACCCAGTGTTCGGGAATACCTCAGGGAGAATAATCTTCCACTGAAAGCTTTGTTGGTGATGGACAATGCACCAGCCCACCCTCCTAATTTGATGGTTGAATTGCCAGAGGAGTTCAACTTCATCACTGTGCACTTCTTGCCACCCAATACAACACCTCTCATCCAGCCCATGGATCAACAGGTAATTTCTAACTTTAAGAAGCTGTACACAAAGGCACTGTTTAGAAAATGTTTTGCGTCCACTTCTTCCAGTGATGTTAGCTTGAAGGAATTTTGGAAGAGTCACTTCAATATAGCAGACGCTGTATTTTTAATTACCTCAGCCTGGAAAGAGGTTACTGTGAGGTGTCTTTGTGCTGCTTGGAGGCCATGGTGGCCTGAATGTGTCCTTCAAAGAGACTTTGAAGGCTTCGAAGAGTTAGAAGAAGAGGCTGTTGTTCATGAAATTGTGTCTCTGGGCAATTCCATGGGCCTGGAAGTGGATGATGATGATGTTGAGGAGTTGGTGGAAGAGCACAGTAAGGAATTGTCCACTGAGGAGCTGCTTGAGCTTCACAAAGAGGAAAATGAGACACTGAAGCGGAGCTTAACTTCTGAGGAGTCAGGGGAGGAGGAGGACAAGGAGGAAAGCCGCATCATTCCAGCCAAAGATCTCAAGGATGCGTTCTTTTGCTGGAGCAAACTGTCCAAGCTTGCTGAGGATTATCATCCTGATGTTGGTTCTGTGCAAAAGGCCATCAGTGTGTTCAATGACAATGTTATGAACCACTTTTGGAAGGTCCAGAAATCAAGGTTGAAGCAGCCAACCCTGGATTCCTTCTTTACAAAGGTAACAAAAGAACCTACAGACAAAGTGCCTGTGAGACAGTCACCAAAGAGGGCTAGGAAGGATGACTCCTCTCCTTCCACCTCTTCTCCATAATTCTCTCCTCCCCCCTCCTACCCTCCTCCCCCTCTGCCTCCTGTCCTGCATGCTGAACAACACTAAGGTAAGATAAAGTACCGTATTTTTTACATTTTCCACAGAATTTTTTCAGTGTTAAGTGGTTGTATTTGGGGGCCTGGAACGGATTAATCCTATAACGAACGAGGTTCTAGAACAAATTACATTCGTTATAGCATACCCCACTGTATATTTTTACATGTACGTACGCACTTACTGTTCATACATTGGCGTTCCCAATCGTCTCGCTATATTTCTTTACCATTAGTGGTAAGCTACTTCCAGTGTTCCATTTATTAACATTAAATAACATTACTTAAAACATACATACATACATACAGGTATTAAATTTTTTTAATCAAGTTCACTGCAGCTACAACCAGGGTCCAATTTTCTTCAGTTTCTTATGTAGAACCATCGTCACTCACGAAAACAATGCCATCTTGTCTCCTCGTGTGTTTTAATATTCTATGTATTATTAATCAATTGTATTGTTTATTTCACATATATAAACATTAATTCAATCAAATACATACTTAGTAATAAACAATAATGAATCTTTTGTACATATTCTTAAGATAAATGACTTTCCTTGAATGCGCACGTACAGGGGTCCCTCGGTTAACGAACGGTTTGATTAACAAAATTTCGGTTAACGAATTACCTCCCATAAGGATCTTCAATTCGGTTAATGAACAAAACTTCGATTAACGAAATCCTTACGACAAACACGTTTTGTTGTAAGCATCAGCTGATGGGCTAGTCTGCCAATTCAGTAATCTGTTCCATGTTTACATTCATTTCCAGTAGAGTTAATATCAAGAAATTTGTGCTCTTTAATATTTGTGCATTTTTTATATTAAAATTATTAGTCATTTTAAAATTTAGTTAACATATTGATAATATATGCAGTACAGAGAACTAGTTTTTTTTGCGCCCATCAGCCGCTTGCCTCACACACCAGGCGCAGTGTGGCTTTGTTTACAGTGGAGTGAAAATCGATTTTGTTGGTGTCTTGAATATTTTTGCCTTTTTACATTAAAATTATTGGTCATTCTGAAATTTAAATTTAATTAACATATTGATAATATATAGCGCAGTGCTGTGTTGATTTAATTAAAATAATCTTGAATTACACCTAATGAATTAAAAATTTTATTGGTGAAATTACTGCATCAAACATGGGACCCTGAAAGGTGATTTCTCCTCCATCCCCACTTCCTTCTCTTCTCCCTTCTCCTCCACCCCCCACTTCTAATTCCCATCATTATCATCAACCAGGAACCTCCTTTATACACACCTCAAAGTAAGTGTACTTTACTGCATTTTTTTTTACTTTGTATGTACTTTTCTGTGAGCTGGAACCAATTACCCAACATCCCATTGAAACAATGGATTCGGTTAACGAACAACTCTGTGGAACGAAATGTGTTCGTTAACCGAGGGACCACTGTAATGATATAAAAAACACCAAAAATACAGTACATAATATCCTAACCACTGGGGTTAGTTATACAAACCTTTTCCTGGGAAAAAGCCAAAATTTTGAGCAAGTACGTCCAGATAATTCGTGGATGACACCCTGGATATACTCAAGAATGTCTGAGGGTAGTTTTAAAGTTGCTGGCATTTTCACGGCCGGGATAGGGAGCCATTCGTTCTAGACACAGGAATTTCCTTTACCTGTATTGTATATGTGTGTGTGTGTGTGTGTGTGTGTGTGTGTGTGTGTAGACACACACACACACAAAACAAATACAGAAAAATAATCATGGGAAAATCTCTCACAAATAATCAGAAACAAATGTAGTATTAAAAATTTAAAAATGTTGAGTCTACCCTCACGTCTATGCCGTGCTTTGTTACAAAAGTAAAGATGTAACCCCCCCCCCCCATCAGGAAATATTATTTATGGATTTGGTGATTCGCGGCCATTTTGAACCTAACTCCCACGAATTTGAAAGGCCTACTGTACTCACTTTGTACTCAAATGTACTACACTGTAGAACTAAATTAATCGCTATCTTTCAAGGATTCCAGTAATGCAACTTATATCTGCTAAGTTTAGTCTGTGACATTTTATAAGATAAAAACTTTAAGCCTAAAACTACCTTCACCCCTGGCTGGGAGGATGGGGGAGGGGATGAGGTGAGGTGTTGACTGCTGGGCGGGGAGGTTATCAAATGCAGTGTTATCAATCAAATAGAGAGAGTTAAAATTTTTCGCTTATAAAATGTCACTGAATTGACTTGGCAGAATACAACTTACATTGCTGGAATTCTTCCAAGATAGTGATTAATTTGAGTACAAATATCCCATAGTTTGTACTAAACATAAAATTTTTAGTGATTTGAGTACAGGTTTGCCCTTAGGACAATTATTTCTTTTACTTTTTTCACAATACATATTTAGGATTGTGCGTGCATGTAAATGAGTAAAAATAAATGAAGTAAGTTATGTATATCTACACGAAAATATGAGTTGAAAAACAACCATAACACCTCACAGCTTGGCCCATTAGCCTGGAGGTTGCTGTGATGAGTCTAACTTGGCTACAGTGCCATGATATATAACTATTAAGCATTATTATACTGAATCAGTAAACACTAATAATAACAGTAAATCCAGTGAAATATGGCAGGGAGGGAGGAGAGTTAAGTGCAGACGACGCGTTACCTAACAGTCACGAGTCACTCCTCTTACCCACATCCGTTGCCTGCGTACGATAAAATATGTATGGGAGAAATACATATCTTGTAGTCCAATTTGAAAACGGTGACAGGCCCATTGATAAACAAATAATATAAACCAGCATTTACCTCTGATAACACAATAAGAAATATTGTTTTATTACAAGAGTAAATGAAATATTCCCACAAACAACAATTGACAGCCATTTGTGTTTCCCACCACCTTGGGCACTTGTGTCCAGTGCGACTGACTGGTCAACCAGCGCCCATGGGCCTAAAATGTTCTTTGCTTTGTTTTGGGAATGCTTCTTAGGGAGGTTTCTTTGCACAAAACCCCCAAATTTTTTGTCCAAATCTTCCGAAATCTGGATTTACAGTTTCTGAAAAGTTGAGAGTTCACTGTACTCTGCAACATTTGATGCTATAATATCCTGACCACTGGGGCTAGTTATACAGACTTTTTCCTGTGAAAAAGCCATAATTTTGAGCAACATACGTACTGTCTTACTGTACTCATTTTGTGCTCAAATGTACTAAGGAAAAGGACTAAATTTTTTATCTCTTGTGCAAACTATGAGATATTCATACTCAAATTAATCGCTATCTTACAAGGATTCCAGCAATGCAAGTTATATTCTGCTAAGTCAAGTCTATGACATTTTATGAGAGACAACTTTAAGCCTATAACAACATTCATCCCATTAATCGTTATCACCCACCGCCATCTGCCTATCCTGCTGTCAGTGAGGAGGGGAAGGGGGAGGTGTGGTGTTAACAGCCAGGAGTGAGGATTAACATGTACAGTCTCGTTCAAGATTCTTTGAAGACTGCTGGAGACAATTGGCAACTCAAGGCCGTTTATTTACTATAGTACGTAGTATAATATAATACGAAACAACAAAGCCCAACCATTAAATTAAGCAAAGGGGAACTAAGTAACCAATCACCGCTCACTTTTATATTTATTCATAATTTTTACTACGTAGTATAGTAAACAAACGGCCTTCAGTTGCCAGCTGTCTCCAGCAGTGTTTGAAGAATCTTGAACGAGACTGTACAGTACATAGGTGTCAGGGACCCAAGGATTATAAAAGTCAAAGAGTTTAAATTATTTGCTTATAAAGTGTCACTGACTTGACTTGGCAAAATATAACTTACATTGCTGGAATTCTTGCAAGACAGCAATTAATTTGAGTATAAACATCAATAGTTTGCACTAGACAAAAAAATTTTAGTAATTAATTTAGTACATTTGAGTACAGATTGTGATAATTTATGCAGTTGCTCAGCAGTTGTGGTTGCAGTTTCAAAGCTTCGTGACATCACTAGTGTATAATGCGTTTCCATATGCCCTGGTCTATTCACTAATAAGTTGGCTAAGTGCAAATGTAGCCAAATCAAGCCATGATGTATCAATTAATTTTAAAATAGAAATTATAAAGTAAAATGTTATAAGACAATGGTTTAGTAGTGCTGTTAATGTATTAAAAATGTGTATTATAAATAAGAGAGTCTACCATCAATTCAATTCCATGCTTTGTTATTAATAACAAAGCATGGAGTGGACTTGAGGTTAGACTCTCACACTTTTAATACAATTGTTTCTGATTATTTGTGAGAGGATTTTCCCATTATTATTTATTTGTATGTGTTTTGAGTGTATGATATACAGTATAATCTCAATTTACGCGGATTTCCTTTACGCGGTTGGTCATTTACGCGGCACCTGGCCAGACACGGCAATTATTAGTTAAGCGGTACATTCCATCGTTTACGCGGGAAGTGGCGCGGGCAGGGTACGCGCTAGGTCACCAAGTCAACAAAACATTACGAGTTCTTCACCCGCCACCCACCACAGCCAGCCCAAGTCAGTGATAGTGAGGATATGGACTTTGAGGGGTTTGACAAGGAGGCCCTGCTAGCATCTGTGGTGGATAGTGATACAGGTGATACAGGTGAGGGCCAATAATCTGCCCTCTGCCTCGGAACCAACCCCCCATCCCCGTGTGCCCAGCCATCTCTTCTACTAACGTAAGTGTTAAAAAACCTAATATTATTGATATTTCTCTTAAATATTAATTGTGTGTGCATACCATCATAAAATTAAGATGTTATTTTTACTACAACGTACGTATTGTGTCGGAAAAAGGGTAGTCTGGCGGTCAGCCCAGTCTCTATTTCAATTAATCCCATATGTTCTGTTATTTTATTTACGCGTTTCGCATTATAAGCGGACCTCCATGGGTTTAATTGACCACGTAAAACGAGATTATACTGCAGCTCATTTAAAGAATGCATAATCCAAGAGTAAATGTAAAAAGTATGTAACTGGTAACAACATGTACTCCTCGACTTACTACCTACTCGACTTACGACCACCCGGACATATGAACGCCGCAGTCATATAAAATATTTTTCAAATTACGTATTTTCTAGTACTGACGTTAGTGATCGGGCTGTGTACTGACAAAATTTTTGTTTGTAATTCCCTTTAAAATGGCTGGCAAGCATAAAAGTGAGTTCTTGTGGTGCTGAGAAGAAAAAGAGACACCCATTTTAGAATTTCTATGTATTTTTTCGCATTTTCGACTTATGACCTGGTCGTCGGTCCCTAACCCCGTCGTAAGTCGAGGACTGACTGTATATATTTTTTTTCCTTGAATGTAGATCCAAAGTTTTTGCGCCCTCCACCATATCTACAATGATAAATGTGGCCGAGAGCCTACAAAAGGTTGGGGACCACTGGTGTAGGGGGTGGGGAGCATTGCTAGGGAATCGGCGACCCAGCTGGTCTTTGTTACTTAGGAGAAACAGGGAGTATATGCAACTGGCAACTGTGTTAAAACTTTCATTTGGCTTTTACTTACTGATTTGGCAATACTGTCCAGTATTTTTATTTTTATTTTCTGATTCCTCACATTTCCTGGTGTGAGCATATTAACGGAATTAATTTTGATTCAGCGAACTAGTTCACTAAATCGAGCGAAAAATAACGGAGAAAATGCCTTCCCCTAAATTGAGAGTTCGTTACATCGGATTCTGTTAAATTGAGAGAATACTTTAACTGGGTCTTTTATTGTTAAAATAATATTGATGGTAGACATATATTACTATCATGCATTTTAATGCATTCTTGTTATCTTAACAATCTGAACAACACCCACTTTCAAAATCTTGGATTTGCCCTTGATATGCTTCTTACCTATGTACAGGAGATGCTGGAGCTTAAGCTAAGAAGATTAGTATCCCTTTCGTCCCCGAAACCTCTGCCGATTATCCAACTGAAAAAAGATAATTGTAACCATAAATTACTGTTAATGTTGAGTGTACCAATGACATAGATCAAGCGTATATAGAGTACAGCAGTGGTGGGCACAGCTAAACGAAAAGTTAGCTTCGCTAACCGCTAATCTGCGAACTAAAAAGTTAACTTCGCAAACGCTAAACCGCTAAACAGCTAAAAAATTTAGCAGAAGCTAACGCTAACCGTTAACTTTTATTAGCGTATATGAATTTAGCTTTGTTTTTTTTGGGGGGGGGGAGGGCTCTAAAAGCCTTAAAAACAGACCTACAGTAGAGAGCTGAAATTTTCATATGTTGTCTTGTAGCTTAGACATAGAGCTTTCCAAAAAGGTATAGCATGCCAAGATCAGATGATGATCAAGGTGTACACAAATAATTAAATGAACAAATGAAATTAAACATTATTTTACATTCAAGTTTCAACATACACTTCATAATCTTTATTTACTGTACGAAAAGAGAGAAAGTATTAAACAAATCCAAAAACTATAGTACTGTATAGCATAGGTAGCAAATAGCATCATGCCAAGATCAGATGATGATCAACTTATCAAGGTGTACACTGTACACAATTTCACAAATAATTAATTTGCATTCTCATACAACCTATCGGCCTTATTCATTATTCATGTAAATATGCAATACTTGTACCAACCACATACACATTATACCAGTGCATTTTTATATAACTTCTATAACACAGTCAGCCAAGCGTGCCTGACTGGCTGTTGGAGACACACGTCGCGGCGTCACACGCTTACAACAGACAGGAACAAACGTATAAATTTTGTCAGCGGACTTAAAGTTAGCGGAACTAAATTTAGCGGAAGCTAATTGGTCCGCTAATGGTTTCCAAAGTTAGCGAAAACGCTAATCCGCTAACGAGAAAGCTAGCTTCGCTAATTAGCGGATTAGCGGAACCGTGCCCACCACTGCAGTTCAGTAATCATTGCTGTTCGTTTACCTGTCCAGTCATCCCACAAACAGACACTCCCCGGGTTACAGAATACTCTGTTTATGGAAATTTGAGGATATAGAATTCTTCCCATAAGCCCCATTATAAAAGTTTTCAGGTTGCACAAGAGTTTTTGTTATTACAGAAGGTAACTAGCATGGCGTAACAACACTATTTGTGGAGGATTTTGCGTAAGACAGCTGAGTGCATCCTCTTGAGAGATGCCATTTGTGATTCAGTACAGGGTACAGTACGTATTTGCCTTATGGAAGGGTCATTTTCGGTTTATGGAAAATTGGGCTTACAGATATGGACCAGGAGCAGAACCTTTCCATAAACCGGGGAGTGTCCGTACCATAAAAAAGCTATTTCCACACTGTGCACTTGGATATTGCCCTTAAATATATAAAGCTCTTCCCCGACTTACGACAGGGTTAGGGACCCAAATCCAGGTCATAAGTCGGAAATGCAAAAAATGATATGTATAAAATCTAAAATGAAATACAGTACAGTGAAAGTAATCAATAATGAAGAATGGATACAGTGTTACTGTGCACTTACCTTTAATGTAGTCAGCTGAATGCACATGGGGCCCCCATAATTCTCTATTTACAGGTACACATGGAGATTATATTAATTGGGTGAAGCATAGGAGGAGACAGGGCTGGGGGGCCCTCATAATTCTCTATTTACAGGTACACATGGAGATTATATTAATTGGGTGAAGCATAGGAGGAGACAGGGCTGGGTGGGTCATCAATATTGCTTTCTTCAGACAGGTTTATGTACAGGGGAAACTTGCTGGTTGAAGATATTGGATCATCTTTAGGGAGTGACGAGGCAGCACTGGTGGTGTGTGAGGAGACAGCAATGGGGGACTTCTTAAAATAGATGTCCAATTTAGACTGCACAGTTTGCTTTTTCTTTTCATTACAAACCTCCCTGTAGCAAGCAAGTGTATCTTGGACCATTCTGTCAACTTTGGCAAAACGCTCAACATTTTGATCCATTCCATCAAACATTTGCATCCCCTTATTAATTGTAGCAAATGCCTCTACCATTTGCTTCACTGAAAATTTTTTGGGGGTGCAAGTACTTCTACATTTAGACTCTTCTTCCTCTGCATTTTTCTGTGCTTCCAGTTTGATAAGATCCTCGTTACTTAGCTCTTCTGCTGCACTTTCAACCAATTGCTCAACATCTTTATTATCAATTTCTAACTCAAGCTAGTTACCCAACTCCACTATCTTGTTACTAATCTCAGAAATTACTTCATTTTCATTAAATCCTCTGAAACTGTTCACATATCTTTTCAGGACTTTCTTCCATATTCCATTCATGCACTGACCTGTAACCTCATCCCATGCTACAATAATGTTCTTCACACATGCCAAAATGTTGTAGTCCTTCCAAAACTCTCTGAGCGTTTTCTCACCTTCAGTAGCAGCAACAGCCTGAGCGAAGGTCGTACGTAAATACTTGCAATTAGCTTTAAAACCAGCAATAGCACCTTGATCCATGGGTTGGATGACAGAGGTAGTGCTAAGTGGAATGTATACTACCTTAACATCAGGGTGCATGTCGTCCAGGTGTGGTGGGTGTCCCAGAGCATTATCCAAAATTAACAAAATCTTGAATGCAATCCCTTGTTGCAGACAATACTCCTTGGCTCGAGGAATGAAAAAAGTTATGAACCAATCCCCAAACAGTACTAGGGTCATCCAGGCTTTCTTGTTACTTCAATAAAACACTGGCAGTGTGTGCTTGCTGACATGTTTAAAAGCCTTGGGGTTCTCTGAATGATAGATCATGAAGGGCTTTATCTAGAAACCAGCTACATTCTCCCCCAACAGAAGTGTAATTCGGTCCTTGAATGCCTTGAATCCTGTCATTGTTTTCGCCTCTTTGTGGATGTATGTCCATTCAGGCATGCGCTTCCATAATAATCCAGTTTCATTAACATTGAATATTTGCTAAGGCAAATAATTGCATTCCATGATCACACGATCAAGCTCCTCCTTAAAAGCTTTGGCAGCAACAGCATCAGCACTAGCTGCCTCTCCACTCACCGTAACATTATGTAAACTGTAGCGGTTCTTAAATCTGTTAAACCACCCTTGACTTGCTGTGAAGGTTTGCTCGCACTCATCTCCTGCCTGCTCCTTCAGGCTTTCGAAAAGTCTTCTTGCCTTAGCCTGTAGGGTTAGAAGGCTTAAGGGTACACACTTTTGTATCTGGTCTTCCATCCATATCACAAGTAATTTTTCCATCTCATGAATAGGACCTTGTCTTTTCTTCGTTATTATAGTTACCTTTATAGGTGCTGATCCTTTCACTACATCACGAATACGTTCCTTGTCCTTCAAAATAATCAAGATGGTCGAGTGTTAGAAGCCTAGGTCACGTGAAATTGTTGCTACAATTTTTCCATTTTCATAATGCATTATTATCTTCATTTTCGTCTAAAAAATAATTGACTGTCTTCTTTTCTTCTGAGCAATACCAGCACTATGCCTCCACCAAGAAGTCAACAGCTTTCTTGACGTTAAATTTCTTCCAAAACTGTTTGACGCGAACTTCTTGATCTGCCAACTCTTGTTCCTCATCCTCGTCGCTCTGGCTATCGGTGTCACCCAGGTTACGCAACTCATCCTTGGTGTTGGTACAGTCATTAAGGAGCTTAAACTTCTTTGTAGAGAATGCAGCCTTAACGTTGCATATCAACTCCTGGTCTATGGGCTGGATGAAAGACGTAGTGTTGGGAGGAAGGAAGACCACTTTTACGTTGGGGTGACGATCCAACAGTAGGGGCGAGTGTCCTGGTGCAATGTCAAGGAGCAACAAAATGTTGAATGGAACATTCTGTTGCTCGCAGAATTTCTTGACATCGGGAACGAAACAGTCGTCAAACCAGGAGAGGGACAGAGCACAGAAGCCTTACGTGCGGTTAGCCAGTGGACATTTAGCTTGGTCATGTCCATGTTCTTGTAGGCGTGCGGCTTGTGAGCTGTGTGGATCACCGATAACTTGAGTTTACAGGTACCGGAGGCATTGGTGGTAAACAAAACGGTGATGCGCTCCTTCTGCAACTTCCGGCCCCGACACTTGCTGGCAGACTTGACAACGAAGGTCTTGGAAGGTAGTTTTTTCCAAAACAGACCGGATTCGTCCATGTTGAACACCTGGTCGTCGGTGTACTGTACTGTCCTTCCTCCATAATCTCACGTAAGAACGGAGGAAAATCACTAGCCGCCACACGGTCAGCACTCACTCCTTCACCACCAATGTTAATGTTGGTGATCTTGTTCCTCTTCTTAAACCCTTGCAGCCACCCAGAAGAAGCATTGAAGGGTTTGGGCTCTGCAATTCCCATCTTACATGCCACTGCTACGCACAGTTCACGTGCGTTCTCTTGAACCGACCGCGTGTCCACCGCCATGTTCCGTCGTGCCTGACGAATCAAGTGGCTCACAAGTAAATTCTCCGTCTTGGGAAGCACCTTGTTCTGGCAGTACTTCACCATTGAAGCACCTGCAGACTTTGTGATGTTCATGTGTTCTTTTATCTTGGCTGCATCCTTCTTGATCGTCCGGATCGTAGATTCGTTAACACCATGCTGGTGCGCGAGATCAACCTGTCTTGTTCCTTTTTCTAACTCTTGTATTATATTGTACTTCACCTCGTAACTTAGGGCACGTCATATCTTCTTTGGCTTAGGGCGGCTGGATAATGCAAGGTTTATCTGTGGTGGTTGAGGTCCAGTGGAAGCCATTCTTACGAGATTAGCGAGATTATCCGAACAATAGAACACAGTATACACGGGGTGACTGGGAGGATCGTAACTGACGCGGCTAGGTCAGCGGCTTCATCCTTCCCACGGCAGGGCACGTCATATTACATTAAACCAATCACAGCTAGCGGCGGATGAAGATAAGGATGCGTGGCCCAATCACAGTCCGACGTCATATGACGTCACCAATAACGCAACAGAGACATACACTGCGCAACCTACTCGCGCCGCTT